GGGAGACCCGGAAGAGGCTCCTGGCTTCGGATCAGCATAGCATTGGCCGTTGGGCTCACTTGGGGAATGAATCATCGGACGGAAGATCTTCCTGTCTGTCTCTCCTCTCTGTATATCTGCCTTTCCAATAAAAAAAATAATAAAAATCTTAAAAAAAAATTAAGAATATATACATTAAAAATAATGACACCCATATAGGATCTCGGCGCATTCAAGGCAAGGACTTCAGTCACTAGACCACTGTGCAGGGCCCAAATTCTGGCTTTCAAAATAAACAAATCTTATTTTTTAAAAATGCTGAAAGTACAATCTTTGATAATGCCAGGTTATAAATTATATATGTACCAGTGAATATGTATATGCTGTTTAAAATTTTTTCAGCCAAACACACATAAACTATAGAAATTAAATAAATTAGGATCTTCCCTATTTAAGTCGGGGTAAGGATAGTTGTTGGACATCACAGAAACCATTTAATATGATACTGGAGTTCTTAGGCAATGCAGCTAAGATCACAAAAGCATAAATGGTTCAAATCCAAAAAAATGTTTCAAGTCACTATTTAGAGCCCTCCAGCACTGTAAATGCCGCAACTAAATAACTACTGAGGTGTTCAGTGAGGGCCTACAGTAGTAGTAATTAAGAAACATAATACAAAAACAAGATCCTCAAGGCGTAAAAAACACAAAATATCTAGAATAAATCTAATCAGATATGCAAACTGACATTACAAAATTTTCCCAAAAAATTACAAACAATTTGCAAAAATCTATGTAAGTGAGCACATGTGTCACAGTTCTCAATGTGGTAACTTCCCCAAATCTCCACATTCAATACAATCCTAAAGAGAACACCCAGAGTTTAAAGTCTGTATTATGAAATATCACACAGGAAGAAAAATACAATTAATAGCAAGAAAATATAACTAGAAGAGAGCTCAAAAAATATGACCAATATAGTTGCAAATTTAGAGGTATGAAAACAGCCCGCCCCCACTAGCTGTAGGCAACTGCCTAGGGTTGCCTTGTACACAGGCAAGTATTACACTGCCAGGAGAAAAGCAGCCAGAAACTAGCAGGTATTCTGGGCCTGGTTAGCCAGGATGTGTCACTCTGGCCCACAGGGATTGGGGGCTACAGACTGCCCCAAGAAGGGGATCTGGGGACACACTGGAGTAGGGGTGGCTAAAGGCTTGTTTGACAGGGGAGGAGTAACTTAAAGGATCTTCCAGGGATCAAACCACTGCACTCGCAGGTAGGTGGGGCAGCTGGGTAAGAGTGGTCCAGTGGGGTGAAGGAATTGGAGGGCATTTCCAGATCAGGCCAAGGAACCTGCCCATGTTGGAGACCTGCAGTGAGCTAAACCGACCATCAGCACCTGCAAAAGCTAGGACTAGGAGCATGTCTGGCTGCGCTAGGCCACAATACCTGCCCACCGATGTCAGAGCAAGGGGTGGGCCATGTCAGCCTGGGTTGCAACACCCACCAGAACGTGAAAACCGAATCTGGAAGCAGATTATTTAAGGGACTTGTGGGCTCGCCTCTGTGGGACTATAGCACCCACTGATTCACACAAAGAACTGGGGGTAGCGACAGGCTGAGTCAGGCCAGATCACAGAACTCATCTGACACTCACAGGAGCCAGGGCTGGGAAAGGGCTGGGATGATCCAGCCTGCAGCACCTGCCAGCACATGCAAAGGCCAGCACTGAAGGCAGACCATGTCAAGACTCATGAGATCTGGAACTGGGAGCAGGCCTGACAGGAAAACTTAGGGTTTTCCTACTAGGCTGCTGCTTCCACTATTGAGTATGAGAGCTAGGACTGGAGATGGGCCAGTCTGGGAACAGGCTGAGCTGGGTGCCCACTGGCAAATGCCAGGACTGAATGTGAGCCATGTCAGGATGGACTACAACAACTCATGGCAGGCACAAGATCCAGGGCTGAGAACAGGTCTGCTAGGAGAACTATAGGCACTCCCCTGCTGGGTTGTAGTTCCTGTTGGTGATCTTGAGAGCCACGGCTGAGGGTGGGCCAGGCTGGCCAAGTCACTAGCACCCATCAGTGTGTGGGGCGAGTGTGGCTGAGCTAGGCCACAGCACGCATGGATGTGTACAAGAGTCACACAAGATGTGGGATGGGCCAGACCGGGACATAGCACATGCCAGCACACGCAAAAACTGAAGCCAAACCTGGCTGGGGTTACTGGGGGGCTGCCAGGGCCATGACATTCACTGGTGTTTGTGAAAGACCAGACCTGTGTTGGGTTGGGCTGAGCTAGGCTAGGCTAGGCTACAGCACTGGACTGGTCAGTTCATGTCAGAGATAGGGCTGGGGTGAAACTGACTAGGCAGCTACATCCACCGCTATGTGCATTGGCTGGTGCAGGTCACAGAACGAACCTGACCCTGCATTGGCTGGTGTACATAACAGTCAAGTCTGAGATCACCCCAGACAAGGTTTCTTGGGGAGTTTCCCAACTAGACTACTGGACTCAAACCCTGCCCTAAGGGAAACCCCAACATGCATGGTCTGACCAATAGAGACTGAACTTCCTCAGCTGCTGAGGCTCATGCAGTCAACAGCATGCCTAGATGCACAAGGGGGGCATGGAAGCCAGCTCATCTAAGCCAGCAGAGGATGCTGAGTGCCTCATAAAGGGATGAAGGGCATAATAGGTTGCACCACTCTCCTGGCCACACTTTGCAACATGTTCCTGGGCCTGTGAATGCATTAAAGTGGACACAGTCAGTCAACAGACCTTGGAAACATTTTCTCAACCCTGGTGCAACAAAGCCAACTTCTCAGAACTATCAAAACCACTCAAGTCACATCCTTTCACACATCAGGGTCTCTAAGGCATGATCAATGACTGTGCCCCATCTCTTGGTGCTGATATCTCACAGCAAAGAGTGGCTCCTCCTCTTCCCCTACTGAAAACACAGGAGAAAAAAATGAAATATTTATCCCACCCACTCTCCTCCATACCCTAACCCTCTTCACACTAATTGGAGACACACAAAGATGTGCATCTCTCTCAACTAAGTATTAAAAATAAAATAAATATTTCCCATGAGACAGCAAAGCATATTAATTAATTATAACAAAACTGTACTATTAAGGTGGGTATTTGGTGAGGCAATTAGGATGCTGTTTGGGATCTCTGAATGCCTTGGTTTGAGTTTCAATTCCACCCCCAGTTCTAGACTTCTGACAATACACAGTCTGGGATCTCAGTCCTTGCCACCAACTGGGAGACACAAAATTCTGGGCTCCCAGCTTTTGGCCTGGCCCAGGAGCGTCTGCTGCAGGCATTTGGGGAGTGAACTGGCAAATGGGAAATCCCTCTGTGTGTATCTGCATTCCAAATAAATAAGTCTATGTAAACATTTAAAATTCACATACCTAGAAGTGATTTCACCTGCAGATCAGTGAAAATAGGGAAGGGAGAAAAGGAAGTTACCTTAAATTTCTAACTTTCTTCTTGCCTAAACTGTGCAAATTTATAGACTAAAATCTGGGCAGTGTGATTTTAAGCACATTTTTATAAATACAACTTTCCTTCTTGCCTTCATGCTGCTACAAAATTAAAACAAAATAAACAAAAATAAATAAAAATAAATGAAACAAATATTTGTTCAGTCAGCTAACCAGCTACTCCCAGGTATTACACCTGCTCCTGAAGACACAAAGTCAGTACAATCAGAGCTCTTAAAGAACGTAAATGTGGCATGTGGTGGGATGGCTAATCAGCTAATCCTCCAGCTCCAAGCACTGTGATCCTGTGTATGTGCTGGTTCACGTCCCAGCTGTTCCACTTCCCATCCAGCCCCCTGGTTTAAGCTAGGAAAGCAGTGGAGGATAGCTTTATGACCCTAAGCCCGTGTGGAAGACCTAGAAGAAACTTCTGGCTTCTTTCTTTGGACTGGCTCAGCTCCATCAGTGCAGCCAGTTGGGGAGGAGTGTGCAGATCAAAGATCTGTCTGTCTTTCCTTCTCTCTGTGAATCTGCCTTTCTAATAGAAAACAAATCTTAAAAAAAAAAAGAAGAAGAAGAAGAATGTTAATGCGGGGGCACAGTGGGATGGCAGCCTAATCCTGGTCTGTTTATGGCCTGGGAAAGCAGCAAGAATGACTTCAGTTCCTGGGCTCCTGCACCCACATAGGAGACAGAGGAAGGTCCCAGATTTGATTAGCCTAGTTCTAGCTGTATGGCCATTTCAGGTGGCTCTGTCTCTCCTCTGTAAAGTCTGCCTTTCAAATAAAATCTTAAAAAGGAAAAAAAAAAAAAAGATTTTAAATGTGGTGGGAGAGACAGTATATGCAAAACAGTTCAGGTTGTAACAGAGAAGTGAAGAGATGAGGTACCATCTAGATCAGGGAGGGGGAGAATCGGATGAAGACTTCACAGAGGCAGTGGTTCGGCTGTCATGAATGACTCGTAGGCTGGAGTCTGGGACAGCTGAAATGCACACAGGATTCAGGGACATAAATGGAGCACATGCCAACAAGTCTGCAAGATCACTAACCCTCTACACGGCCTTGGGCAAAAAAAAAAAAAAAAAAAAAAACTGACTCAGTTTCAACCGAAAAATAGAGAAAGAAGTCTTCCTGGGAGGGTTGCTGAGAGGAAAAAGAGACGGTAGGTTGAGAAACACGTGCAGGCTGTCTAGCTGCCACATCCACTGACTCTGAGGCTGACTTTACCATTTTACCCTTCCTGTTTCCTTCCTGGGTCTCCGTAACTGCCTAGATGGTAGAACACAATTTCTTTGGTCTTGGATAATGGTCCAGTCCAACTTTTCATACACCAAAGGTACTCGTAACACATTGTTTCAAAAACACACACACACACACCCACATATACCAGGTTCCACTGAACTACCCTCTGTAACACTACCTGGAACTGCCATACAATTAATGGCTAAGTATTCAGTCTGAGGGCCAGTGGCTCATTTAATGAGCATCCCACCTGATGCGCACACATATGACTTCATACTTACAGGCTGAGGCTGTTCTGCGATACAGCAGTTGAAACACAACCAGAATTCACTCATGCTTAGAGTTCGAGGTACAGGTTAGCAGCAGCAAGGATTCCTAAGTTCAACTCAGAAGGCGCCACGAAGTACAATCCTCAAAAGGATGAATGTCCAGTGAAGGCAAAATAATAATTATATTTTACTGTGCTTTTTTTGTAAAAGTCAAGTTTCTTCCACAAGTTAAAGCAAAAAGGACAGATCACTTTCTTGCTTTGCTTCTGGTTCTACAGAGACATGTTCCTGCATCACCAGGAAGTGTAACAGCTGTTGTCCTGAACCCAGAGCTTACAGCAGGTAGTCTAGGAAAGAAAAGAAAAAGTTAACTTTAGTCTTGAAGGCATTTATTCTGTGATAAAATTCAGAGCAATATTATCCTTCATTATAAACAGCAAATGTCAAGGATTTTAACACACTGATATCAGTTCAACACATTATTTTTGAATGTCAAGTGCTAGGATATAACATCAAAACCAAATATAAAATCTTGTCCTCACAAAGCACTGTTTTTTAACTAGCAAAATATATATTTAATTTTTAAGTACTAATTATAACATTGTGACTGTCATACTTGAGTCTCACTTCACTAGCTTACTCACTGGGTTTTCATACATAGCTCACACAGTAATTGGTAACAGTAAGCAGCCACCGCTTATCAAAACAATAAACAAAATTATCACCTGATCCATCGAGTTTTGAAATGTGGCTAGGGGTTTAGCTAGACTTCATTTGGGCCATCAGTGACAAGATCCCCCGCCCCTATGAACACTGTACGCCCCACAAGCACAGTGGCAAACAAAGTATGCCCCATCAGAATCTGTCCAACCGTTTTCTATGTGGAGCTGAGAAGAGTGAACTTATTTTTTTATTCAAATGCCAAGCTGCTGACTTCAAGGTTAACTTGAGTCAGCCATACCCCCATTCCTCATAGAGTAGGTGGTCCTGACATAGTGATGCTGACAAGCAGACAAAAGCAAGGGTCATACAACCAGTCCCCAAGCGTGGCAGGCCTGCCTCTGTGAAGAAGGAAGCACACCTCCCTTTTTGGGCCCACCTTGCAATGTTCTTCTCAGCTGCAGTCTACTGTACTATTAAGTGGAAACATCCAGGAGACAGGTGCATTACAGGCTGCAGGCAAGAGGTGTGAAGCCATCACCAGATCACCAGTGACAGAACAAATGACCATCTCTAAGGGAAACAGTATCGCAAGAAGCTAGTGGTGCCACTGGGGCCTCTCTCAGGGAGGCAACAGGTCTAACTGTCCCTGACAGGGAGGACGGGGGACTCCTCAGTGCAGTGTGCAGGAAACAGGCAGCTCGTGGGCACGGCAGCTACAGTGTCGGTGAGGTCCTGTGGGCAGCAATCAGATTACAGTGAGCTGACAATTAAGGAAACGGAATGCGGAATCAAGAGGACACACAGTGTTTAATGCAACAATGGCTATTTTAAGAGGTGGTACAGCGAAGAAAGAGAATTATTCTTCAAATAAAAAACTGAAGATGTCCTAATTTGATTATTCAAGGAGAGATTGGGACACTGTGCACCAAGTGGTGTGAAAAAAATGTGTTAATAAATTTCCAAAAGAGATCTCACCGATTCCTAAGCTTTGTCAACTACAGATCAGTAACAACCACATCACCCCTGAACACGAAGAGAAAGCCCCGCCTCAGAAGCAGGAAAGGCACAAAGGGCTGTCATGTTCAAAGGTCAAGAGCTTCAGATAGACAAGCGCAGGCTGTCTTTTGAAGAGTAACAGGCACACACACTTAGACACCTGCTTCTTCGGCCCAGGGGACCCGTCTGTAACAAACTCAAGGGAAGGAACACGCTCCTAATTAAGCGGACACTCAGAGAGAAACAGAAGGAAAACTTACACTCTTGCCTTAAAAAAATTCAGACTCTTCAATGCTTACTGTAAAGCCAGAGAAGTGCAGTCTTTTTCCACAGAACTGGGTAAATACTGTAATATTTTTAAGGTTGGACATTTCCTCTGTCCAACCTTAAAAACAAAGGATTAAATTCACATACTGTGAATACTACTTCAGAGATGGTATCTAGTTAACCAGCTCTAGCTCATCCCAGATCAAAGATCTTGGTCACTAAGAACTCATTTTAAATGCAGGCTCTTTTTAGCCAATCTAGGAAAAGAAGCATGTCTTCCTTGAACATGAACATTCTCCTAACCACTGAGGCATACACAGGTATTTGCCTTTCAAATCTGTTTCACTTCTCCTAACAACATCACTGGCTGCTTTCTCATTTACATTTAAATTATCAGAACCAATAGTCGTTTAAAAAAACTTCTTTCAAACATTTTAAGAGGTATTGTATTTACTTACTGTATTAGTTACTCATTAGCTTCCTAGTTTACAATCCATAATAAACACTTTAACTCTGCTACAATCCCCCCAAAATTACAGTTTCTCTCTCATTAAAAAATAAACTATTTTTGTGTATTTTAAAATAAACATCTCCAGGAGTGGGCCTATGCCTACCAACTGGAAAGCCCACACCCACCTGGTACAGTAGCCCCCGGGTCGGGGGGGCTCTCAGCTTCAGTTCCTGCTCTTGGGAGGGGGCACTACTGATGCACCCACGTGGCCAACTAGGACTGAGTTCACTGGCTCCCGACAGCTCCCTCCCTCCGCCTCTCAAATAAATGAATGTTTTAAAAATAACCAAAAAACATGTACATTTACCTATTGTGTACTAAGTTAGCAACATTTGCAACACTTCCTCTTTCCTAATGCTTAGCTCAAGGATGACTGGTTCAAGGGCAATAATACAAAAACCCATGACAATCTGAGTAACGAACTTGTTGAAATACATTCTCAAGCCAAAAGGAAGTCTGCAACTCCAAGAGTTTTTATTTAAGCAAACATATCAAACTTAGAATGTCTCAAACATGTCTTGTAATAAATATTTCTATCACAGGTCCTGGCCTTGGGGTTAGGGGCAGCTTGCAGCTCCCCACAGTGTGGCGGCTGTCGGGGGTGCCCCTGCTGGTCGGATCCAAGGTTGGGGACTCAGATCAAACCCACTGCCAAAGGGCAGTGACTGAGTCCTTGGCACTGGCTCTGCCTGCTGGCTGCTCAGCAGCGAGCTCTGGGGTTTTTAAGATATGAAATTGCTGCTTATGGGACACCCATGAATAAGGCCAACTTTAGTGTAGATGAGAGAAGAATTCTGGGTGATTCCCAGTTACGGGTCATGAAAATTTCAGGCAAGCGTGGGATTGAGACCTGATGGTTTGGATGGGTTGTCCATAAGATCTATTTGGGCCAGACTGAATCATCAGCCAAATTAGTAATCTTGAGATGGGCTATTAGCATAGAGCATCACTGCCACACACCAGTCCCTACTGAGCCATGTGTGCGATATGGACAAGCCTTGGCTGGGGTGAAACAGCCAACATCAAGAACTGGAATGGACTGAAGGTCAACAATGAGGGCTGGCCCATGGAACCACCAGTTCGCGCAAAACCTGGCATAGGAAGAGGTTCCAAAGGAGGAGCTTGGGAAACTCCTCTGTCGGAACACAGCCCCTACAGGTGAGCGCAAGAACCATGATATGGAGCAACCCAGACCAGGAAAAAGGAAGATACCCACCATCATACATATGGCATAGGTGGAGGGCAGGCCAGGCTGAACCCATTCACATCAACCGCTGGTGAATCCAAGCACCAGCATAGAGCGTGGGTCAGGTCAGTTTCAGTCACAACACATACCAGTGCACATTAAGGAATGCCAAGGTGAGGTAAGCCATACCAGATGTGGTTGCAGTGCCCAAACAGCACACGTGAGAACCGGGGAGGGGCGGGGGGGAGGCAAAGCCAACAGGGGAATGTGGGCTCCCCTGCTGGACAACCACTCCCACTGGAGAGCATGAGTTGGGATGGGGCAGACCAGACCAGACAGGGCTACACCACCTGTGGGCCTCATGTGAGCCAGACTGGGTAAGGGCCAGATTGGGCTGACTGTTCCAATTGGTGCAAGCAAAAACTACAGTGGGTGAGGATTAGCCGGGCTTTGCCAAATCATCAGATGGCAGAGGTTGGCACCGGGGGCCAATTCTGTTAAGTTAAATGCCAGAACCACCTGGAGAGTGCACAATCCAGAAGCTGGAGTGGCCTAGTAGGGAGTTAGTGGGAACCTCCCTCGTGGGTTACCACTCCCACTGGAGAGCATGAAAACGAGGACAGGGGCAGGGGTGGCTAGACAGAAAGGCACCTGTCAGTATGTGTGTGGGCTGGATAGTAGGTTGGTTGGGTTGAATTAGGTTTCAGTGCCCATTGACATGTACGAGAGCTGAATGGGATGTGGGACCGACTGAACAAGCCTTCAGTACATATTGGCACGCACGTGAATCAAGGTAGCGAGCAGGCCTGGTGGGGTTATGGGGAGTCGCCCCAATTCGGCTGCAGCTCCCACTGGTTTGCATGAGGACCAAGTATGAAGCGGGTAGGATCGAGTCGGACTACAACACCCACTGGTTCAAGTGGGAGACAGGGCTGGAAACAGAACTGACCCAGCAATCGCAACCACCAGCATGTGAATAAGCTGATTGGGGCGACAGACTGTGCCAGATCCTGTACTGGCAAATTCACACAAGAATCAGGTTTGGGATCATCTCAGATGAAGTTTCTTTGGAGATCCCTCCAACTGAACTGCTGATCTCAGAACCCAGCCATGAAGAGACTGCGTCAGCCAGTGGATTCTGAAGAATTTCATCATGCTTGGAATGGCAAGATTGGCAGCAATTCAGAACTACTGAACTATCAAACCTGCTTGAGCAGGACCCTCAGAGCGTGCCTCACATCGGGGACCTGGGATGGGTGGGAGGCTGGGTGGGGCTTCTCCCTTTGTTTCTCCCCTGACCCCAGATACAGGCAAAAAGTGTAGAAACAATGGTATTACCCACTTTCCAGTAGCCCTTGACCCTTTGTACCCTAATCAACTGAGTAAGATCATTTTAAATTAATTAGTTAATTTTTAAAAAAGAGAAAATTGCATATGTTCAAAGTACATACTGTGATTTTTAAAAAAGATTTATTTTGGGCC